AGTCCTCGGAGGTAGTTTCACATGCAAAATAGGCTTTTATGCCTTCCTCTAGAACATTCGATATGGGAGCTAACTTCTAGAAGACCCGAGAATGATGGAGTGCCTACAGAGGAGGACGACAAGCACATCTCGCAAGTCACCACCTGGACCTCAGTCAGGTTGGCACGTTCTCGAGGGAGGTTACTCCCCACACCGAGATTACTTTGACCAGAACTAACGAGGTACTACAGGTCGGCAACTCCTCACGTCGAGGTCCCTTGAACCGGTCACGACAGCGTACCACATGTTGGCCTTGGACGAGGTGCTTCTAGTCGCCCTGCTAAGGTGCCCGATCTGCGTATGAGGTGTCCTAGATTGATTTTGGAGTGCGTCTCCTTGACTTGGCAAGATACACATCTATCCACATGGCATTGAGGTGTCAAGCAGCAAAGACAAATGCCACATGTCGCTAGGTCAATGGAGGGCCAAATCTGCCCTCATCAATTTCCCCCCACACTCGAGTCAAGGTCAATTCGATGAAAGGTGTAACTTTTTTTGAAGATGAGGCTCAAGGTGACCTACTTGTTGGCGCAAAGTCGTGCCCTTAAAACTGAGTGTCACTCTTCAAAATTCGAAATAGGGTGTGCCTTCAAATGGCACACGTCCTTCAAAATTTTGAGCGGGTGTGACCTTTTGAAATTTGAAACAGGGCATGATTTCAAAATTCAAAACAGGGAGCACTTTCGAAATTGTTCTACACATGCCTTCCAAAATTTCAAACGCAAGCTTCTTCCTAGACCATTGGATTGGGTGAATTTGGACCATTGGTAATCCGCACTACTATCTATAAATTGGGAGGACCCTCAAGGGCCCCATGTTGCTTTCCGATTTCAAACTTGCGCTAAAGTGAAGATTGTTGACGATCTTTACGATCTCCAACTCGGTTGTGATAGTTTCCAGCAAATCGCTTTATTCTTCTTATCATCAGTAAGTCTCTTCTTAGTTATGTCTAGCAGGTCAATGAGGGATTGCTACCTAAACGCCCGAGCAGAGGTGAGGACCTCGACTCAAGAGAGAAAAGGTTCCCATGGAGGAGCTCCTCCTTGACCTCTCAACAAGCATCATCTAGAACAGGTTTCGGGCCCTCTGAATTGTCCGGCGAGGAGATAGTGGATCTGATTAACACCTATCATATCACAATTAGCTTAAAATGTATCCAACCCGAGGATGGACAATATCCATGGAGCCATGGAAAAACCAAGGTTTGTGTCTTCAAGGAGGCCCTCATTGTCGGGCTCCGCTTTCCCCTTCATCTAGTCATCTGTGAAGTCCTCTATCACTATGATTTGGCACTAGATCAACTGCATCCAAACTCACTTAGGACCATTGTAGGCACCATTTCTCTTAGCTATCACCTCAATTTCCCCTTAGAGATAAAGATCTTTAGCGGGATATATCACATAAAGAGAGTGCCAAACAAAAATTGTTGCTTCTACATCAGCTACCAACCTGGGTTTAGGCTTATAGGCAATTTTTCATCCAACATCGCGAATTAGAAGGCGAAGTTCTTCTTTTGAGCTGCGAGGAGGGTTGCCCTATGCCAATGACCTGGAGGGTCGAGGCAAATAGGTATGAGGTCGAGTTTGACGAGGAGTTACTGAACGACCTTAGACTCCTTGTTTAATAGCACTCCTTGGTAGATGAGTTTCCTGGTTGAACCGATGCTCAACTAGGCCAGCCTTAGCTCCCTATGTAGGTTGCACTATATTTATTACCTCCAAATTTTATTTCTTGCCCTTAGCATCTTGATTGATTTTCTTTTTTATTTGACTACAGGGATTACTAGTTTTTCGGTTGGTGAGTCTAGTTGCGAGGCCAAAGAGTTTGGTGGAAGGTCGTCGTGCTACGGTTGACTTGGAGGAGGGCAGCAACCCGATTTAGGCCAACCCTTATCACGTCACTCTAGTACAACCGGCGAGCACGTTTCACTTCGAGGAAGCAATGACTCCTTTCGACCTGGAGGCCTCTCTGTTCATTCCCAAGGTAAATTGCTTGATCACCTAATTCATGACCCATATGTGGCGCTTCGTATGGGAAGGGGTATTCTCCTTCTCGAAGATGTCCACGTTTATCATGAGCTGGATCCTTCTAAACTTGATGCTCGTATCATTTGAAATTCCATGCAAGTAGGCGTCCTCGAGACACTTGCTATGCTGCTTTATTTGTCTCTTACCGAGTTATTTTCATGTCTACCGATCAACTATCTAGGTCAAGTCATGCTAGATCGGGCCACCACCTTGAGGCATGAGTCCCGCGAGATGAGAACCAACATAGAGACCCTCCAATCTCAGCTAGAGGCAATCAGTCTCAGCGCTGAGGAGGACCACCAACGATTATGTTCCCATAGCACGAGTATTCACTGCAAGCTAGAAGAAGCTAAGGGGACGATTGTCAGTCTAAGCGGTGAGCTTTAGGAACAATAGGAACAACAGGCCAAGCAGTCTAACAACATTCACCGAGTCGAAGTTGTTGTTGTTGAGCACTTTCGCCAATCACTAGAGTTTGAATAGGATAGGATTGAAGCGGTGGTCCCTTCTCTAAAGCGGGGCTTCAAACTGTGCCACCGCTTTCTTCGACACCAGTACCTGGACCTTGACTTAAGCTCTATCTCGCTTAGGTCGGTCCCATATGATCTGACTCGAGAGGTTAAGGAAGAGGTAGAGATAAGAATGATGACTAGTGGCGAACTCCCCTTCCCCCCCCCCCCCTTTTAACTTCTACACACCGAGCCTATGAGCTCTACTTTGCTAGTTTTATGAAATCCTCTTGAATGGAAATTTTGAAGTCTTCCCTTCTTCTCCATTTCTCTTTTTTATCAAATCGGCAATGAGATACTGACGTCCTTTGAGACCGATTCGAGTGTGGTGGTGGCAATGTCAAAACGCTGTCGAGGTAGATAGATGATGGGCTGACCTACTTAGATCGGTCTACCTGTTGCTGACATTTTTTGAGATTGGCTTGAGGGGGCGTTAACCTAAAAGAGGTTTAACTTCCCTGTAGAGTTTGGCTTGACTAGGTCGCCGAAGCAGATGGTCACTATGTAGTTGCTTTTCTGCTCAATGTACCTTTTATCATTCGATTTCAAATAGATATGTATAGGTCAAAATTACACTCACCCTGCGAGCTAATCAATCATGTTGTGGTGCGAGTGGACCTGCACGGTTGCATCTATGCCATCATGAGGGAGTGACGCTCTTGGGCTTGCATTCGCAAGTTAATGCCGCACATGTGTTGCACCTGCTCCTGGAACTGCTGGTCATCTACTCCTACTAGAGCCATGTGCGGCTCACCTTGAGGGGGTGGTTCTACTGTTTGTGGGTCACCATCTTCAAGGGAACCATGTAAAGTTCGACTTGTGAGGTCGGTTCCATAGTCAGCTAGCTACCAACTCTCACAGGAGCCATGGAGGGCTTAATCAGCACTGAGGCTTTGTCGTTAGGGATTGGAGACTATTTGGGCCAGATCACTGAAGCTTGCCTGGGCTGCTCGTTCAGATTCTACCCCCCTTATGATAGTATCATTGATAAGTGCATTACTATCGATGTTGGATGGTAGATCGGTGCCACGGCTACACTGTGTCAACCCTCGGAAGCACTGGTCGTCTAATCCTACGATAGCCACAAGGAGCTCAACCTACAGGGTGGCTCTACCAACTATAGGTCGCCAATTCGCACGGGAGCCTTGAAAGGTTTAACACGCAAGGGCGTCTGCACAGTTCGTAGGCCGCCAACTCCCACACGAGGCTTGTTCGTGCTTATTACCATTGAGTGCGAATTTGAAATGAGAGTTGAGAACCTGGTTTTTAAGTAGCGGTTCTCACAGACGGCGCCAATTGATTATGCATGATCTGGCAACTCCCTACTGGAAGGCAACTCGGATGCCAAACTAGCTAGTTTGTCGGGGCGACCTACAAAGAGACAGTATTAGAGTGTCTCAGTTGATTTATCCAGGGTGGGCATTTCAATGCTTAAGTCAGTGAATTGGAGATTTTAGAGAGAGTTAGAAAACGGAAGAGTTAGAGAGCTTCGAGAGCTAAATTGCGCATACCTCTTGAAGTTGAAAATGAGACCTTTATATAGGTATTGTTTGATGACGAGATACCACAGATCGGCAAACCCTTGTGAAAATCGCTCCTCACATCGAAATCCCTTGGATTGATGACGATGAAGTACCATAGATCGGCCCTGAAAAATGTGTTGCTGGCCGCCCAACCGAGGTGCCCAAACTGCATATAAAATGTTTTTGACTAATTCTAAGGTGCATCTCCTTAACTTAGCGAGATACACGTACATATATCCGCGAGATAAACGTACATTTTTATCAAAAGATGAAAACGGATGCCATATGTCGTTAGGTGAGCGGACGTCGAAATCTGGCCTCGTATGGAAAGGAAACCTATCTTAATGAATATAGACATATTGTTGGCCAAAAATTATGTAAAGAGACAACACATGTAGAAGCTTAGAACCTGTCTCCATTACATGTGCATTGCAGAATTATTAATTTCGGTAATACATATAACATATTATAACAATTCCACAATTTAATATTAAATGGGTATTTTTAGATTATCTCAAATCTTTAACCAAAATGGGGATTGCATCAACCACGTTGTGCTTACACAAATATGCAAGTACTGAAAGAATCCACTCCTAGTGCCTATTATTTTTCTAGTGTAAGAAATACCTTACATGAATTAAATATTTGCAAATGTTCTAAAAATACCCATTCGAATCATAACATGAAATTTCTTTCAACAAAATCCATGTAGCGACCAATCCTCATCGCTAGACAAAACTAATAAATAGTAGTATAGCAACGATGTCGACTACCACTGCCACAACTGCCGACGCGGATTACACACCAGAATTGCGTAGGGTGGAGGCGGGCAACCCTTATCACTTCCCCCCAAAAATCATAGAATTTAAAGAGAGAAAAAGCTCGCCGGAATTAATGGAGTCTTTTCTTTCTTGTTTTTAGTGGACACCCAGCCACCGATTATGCTTTTTCCCTTCAAATTTCTATTTTTCCTAAGTTGACTTTGAATTTAAGATGTTTTGTGCTGCTCCACTACCATTACCAATCTCTCTCTTGATGTCTTGCTCGTATTCCTTTCATCATCCTTCGTCCTCCGTCCGTCCCTCCATTTGTTTTTCAGAACTCAGTTTGTTTTCTTAAACGAGTAATCTCAACTCCTAAAAAGCATATAAGAGATAAAAGAATATTCTTTCGATAAATAAGGAATTACTCTCGAGTATATATTTGGTCTACTCTCCATTATCTATCTATATTACCATTATTCACAGGTTTTACATCTTAGCTCCAGATAAAACAAAGAATTTTAAAAACAAAAAAGTAAAGAAGTGGGAAATCAAACAGACAAACAAATTAACAATCCATATTTTTTTTTTTTTTTGCAAAACGTAGTTATGACAATTCTATTCACAGTGATCCTTGCCTGGAACTCGAAAGCCCAGCCAGGAGATGTTTGTAAATATCCGTGCTAACTTGCGCCTGAAAAAGGGGCGCCATATAGCTAACAGTTTTCTTTTTCTATTTTTCGCACTTAATCAGATTGTCAGGACTCGGGACGAAATTTCCGGGTATGGTGTGTCCAAGTTCATGTTCATCTACATATACATAACCCGGAATCAGGAGAAGAATATCAGAATATGATACACGATTGCGGTCAGACCGCACGGAGCGGAGGCCCCGTATTAGAGGAGACCTCCACTCCCAGCGCATGTTAGCCCCGGGTCCAATCACTATGACTCTGGCATCCAGAGCTCAATGTACAGAGACCTAGCACTCAAGATTGTTTTTTATTTTTTCCTCAAGTCTCCTTCTTCTCAAAATAATCTTGTCGATCAGTTTAGGCGAAGACGAAAATCATCGAGCGAGCCGATGCATTTCCCTACCAGCACTGATCGGTCTCCCAAGTACGGCGAGAGAAGCCGGAGAATCCTGACATAGAGGAAGCCCCAGCCGAGGCCGTGGATGCTGAGGTGGAAGACGGAGATCTAAATGGCCGTTGTTGCGTACTGAAAAAGAGTTTGCGATCGTAATCAGCACGTTTTTCGGGATCGGATAGAGTAGAATAGGCAGCGTGGATCTTCATGAACTCATCGGCGGAAGTATTCTTTCGATCGACGGCGACGACATCGGGATGACAAACACGCGCTAATCTCCGATAAGCGGTCTTGATCTCCTGATAAGTGGCGCCCATGGGTAAACCGAGCATCTCGTAAAACGACGCAGAGGAAGCCATCTTGGTAGAAGAGAGTCGCGGAGGCCTAGTCCTTTCTGCGGAAGAGGTGTAAGCAGCGGAGAAACGAGGAGACCGGAATCTAACGCAAGAGAAAGGAGGAGGAGGAGAGTCGAGAGTGATGGTGGTGCCAAGGAAGCTAGGCGATGAGGAGCACAAGAGCGAAGAGGAGGAAGCAGCTATCATGATCTCTTTGGCTTGTTCGTGCAGTTAAAGGATGCAGAGGGGGGAGGACGGGGGGGAAAAGAGCGACTCTATTTATAGAGAGAGGTTGGGGTAGGAGTTAACCATGGTTAACTCCTAGTTGGTTGGGTTAATAGTGATTTGAGTTTGCTATGACAAAGCTTATCCGTTGGCTCTGTTCTTTGCTGACTCATCAACTTGAGGTCTGCAACTTGTGTGGATTATATTCATCCGACAGAAACAGATAGCTTCTCACAGAGTCACAGATCAGGGCTGTCACTGTTTCGAATCTCTCTCCCGTCCTCCATAAAAACCGCAGCTATTAGTTTGTGATTTTCCTTTTTTTATTAATTTTAAAATAGGAGAAAAAAATCAAAAAATTCAAATGAACTATTCAATTTCAACAAGAAAAATTGTCTGATCACGCACATCCCAGAGGCCAATCAAAAGAATTCAAATGAACTATTCATGATACGATACGAATAGGAATATAGGATAGAGCAAACATTTCGGAGACCCTCCATCACAGACAGCCTAGACCCTACTAGATTGGTCAAGCATTGTTTCTTACTTTGTATTAAAATTGAACGAGAGCCGTTCACAAAGGTGAGATGGCACATTGACTCTTCCCGGAAGACCGGGAATATGAATGGTTATGGGTGATGATCCGGTGAGAGAGGAGTAAGGTGGTGGAGGTGTGACCCATCGCCCTGACTCTGGTGCCTCAACAAAGAAACCATGTGATCAGTGGAGATCGGCTTCAGTCACTGCAAGGCCCGTTCGAACACTGTTCGAACAGCCTTTTCGAATATATCTGTACTTTTATGCTTTATTTCAAATGAGGAGATATTCCAAAAAGGTTATAATGGTTGTTTGAACGGATTTGCAGTGACTGAATCCCATTACTGATCAGTGAGCCCTAACGTTTTCACCACTCTTTCATCAATGTGCCACATCATCAAGGTACTTTTTACGCGTTGGACTACGTGTCAAACTGCCATTATTAACTCACTTTTTTTTGTACGACGACGAAAAAGGAAGACAGCCGGCCAAGAGCACGAGAGTACATTTGCAGCTTCGTCGCGACCCGGCAATGAATAAATACGAACACGTAGTCATCACGTGATCCATTTTTCATTGGAATTTGGATCATAGTTGCAGCATTTAAAACCCCCTTTCTAGAGGTTTGGGACGGTTTCGCCTTTTCGGTATGTACACTTGTACAGTTTCTACCGACTGAAATAGAATTCTGTCCGGATCCGGAGGGAGGGGGGAGGAAGGTCCTACTTCGCTTGGGAGTTGGGAGTTGGGAGTTGGGACGCACCTTACAAGAAATGAACCCTTTCTACTGGTTGACAGTTGACTTTCAAACGAACTTGAGCAACACTTCTTTTTTTTAATGCATTACTTCGGAAGGCTAAAAAAGTTTGCAGATCCGATAGAATGACATTGAATAAGAATCCAACGGATCTCTAGTATTAAGTAAAATTTAATTTCATAATTCTATTATTGGAAATCCAATTTAAATTGGATTACATTGAAATTTTCAATGATTAAAAAAAAAAAATTCTAAAAACTTAAAACATAATTAAGAGAACTTCATCCATGTACCATCCTTACAAACAATACAACAAGATGAAAATCGAAGGAAACTAAAAATGCCTATGTAAGAGAAGAAGAGTGTCTGGTGCAAGGTTTAAAATTTTATAAGTATCGGCCAATGCATATTATATCAAGGGCTTCCCAATACACTCCCTTATAGGGGGTTTAACCTCGTTCAGAGGGTAGAAATGCCTTAAATCGATCCTTCTGAACCAGGTTTAAAAAACTAAAACAAAAAAAAAAAGAAAAAGAAAAATGAGCTTCTATACAGGCCTTAAATTGATTCCTGTTGGCGTATCGACCATGTCAATATTTTAAATCTTGATCTAGTGTAAATGGTGTTATGATTTCTAGTTCCCTCTCTGCAAGGTGGGGTTAGGATTTTTTTTCTGAGGGCTGGAAACCAAAAGTTAGTAAATATGAATAACAGGGGCCAAAAGCTAGTAAAACATAGTTAGGAGGACCAAAATATAGGTAAGAATTAAATGGGAATTGTGAAGATTTTCAAGGCATGGGGGACCATGGCCCCCCTCCTCCAGTCCCCACCCCCTATCTCCGCCCCCTTTCTCCTACCTCTCTCTCAACGACAGCTAGTTCAATGATGCCAATAATTAGAAGGTTGAAAGAGTGAAAAAAAAAAGAGTGTTTAGGGTTTCTCTTTTTATTATTAAGGCAACTGAAAATTTGGGTACAACAATAAAAATTCTACAACAAGCAAACAAAATTAATAAAACAAAACAAGGGTATAAAAGCCATAACAATATATCACATGTTATATATAGAATTATACTTAAATATAATAACTGCTGGATTGGATTGGATTGGATTGTATAATTACTTAATCGTACGGGTGCAACTTTGGCGGGTCCAGCCTGAGTCTGAATTGGCATAACCTGGAATTTTACATGGCCTGTGCTTGGATTTTCGATCTTTGGGCTGGGTTGGGCCCAAGAAGTCTGGTTTTTTTTTCGGATGGGTTCGTACCTAGCCCTGGGGAGCCCAAACCTGATTTGAGCTCGGCCCAATTATATACATTTATACATATATATGTGTATATATGTAAATGTTGCATACATATTTACATATATATATATATACATATTTGTATATATAACATTTGTATAGATATTTTGCATACATAGATAAATATATGAATATATATTTGCATAAATACATTTTTATATATGTAATTTTAGAATGGATTCATTGACCAACCCAAGCCCGGCCCAGGCCCAAACCCAACCTGAGTGTATCAAATTACAGGGTGGGCTGGGCTTGGGTTGGGAAAATTGGGCTTGACCTCGGGCTCGGGCCTTAAGCCCAAATTTTAGGGCTGGGCCTGAGTTGACTATAAACCCAGCCCAACCCACCCAACTTGCACCCTTACTTAATGAACCAGGCTTCACGATCCAATTCGATTCATAGAGAGTAAATGAATAACCAAAACCGATAATAAATGGATCAGATTCAAATTTGGGTCAGATCAAATCTGATTCATCAGCAGCCTTAATTTTTATGTTAGGTTGTGTATGGTTTGAAGGAAAAAGGTGGGGGAAGGAAGGAAAATTAAAAATAGATAGGGAAACAAAAATTTATTAACGACATTAATTTTGGTAGTTTTCATTGATGATTTACAGCCATAATCTGTTTCCAAGGAACATATTTAAGTGATGTAAGAACTATTTAGTAAAATAAACACAAAGCTTAGGAGAGCTAGTTAAATGTAGGGGTGTTAATGGAATAGTTTTGGGTTGGACTCCATCCAAATAAAAATCTATTTGTACAGATTGAGCGGACCAATTAGATGTTGAATTGGACCAGTCCAGATTTAATGGTCCAAAGTATTTATTGAATTGGATTGGACTTGGTCTATCCATAATGAATTTATATTGGATTGGACTGGATTGAGCCAATATCTGGTCCATTGATATAAGAATACAGGTGTAAATGGATCAGGTTTGAGTTGGAACCAACCTAAATTAAAACGAATTTGAACAGATTGGACAGTACAGACATTGAATTGGACCGATCCAAAATATTCATTAGACTGGATTGGACCAGGTCCATTTCAAATGGACTCACATTGGACTAGATCGAATTGGACCAAATCCACCCCTAGTTAAATGAACTTTCTTCTTTAAAAAAAAAAAAAACTATTTAAGAGTTTTAGACGAATTAAAAACATTTATTTCTTGTAACTTACAATTGTAGGGATGAGTTGTATGGGATCAAACAAGTGACTAAGGATATACCTACGGGTGACTAGTGAAGTGACAAATTACTTAGACTCTTAGGCTTAGTTTAGAAGGAGTGCAAATGCAAATATGTAGAGTGCAAAACCTTATATTTTTATATTATTTTGTATGTATTTGCACTGTACATATTTGGACTCTACATGTTTGCATTTGTACTCCTTCCAAACTAAGCCTTAAGTGGTGGTGTAATCAAGTGTAATCAAGTCGAGTCAATTATCAATCTACTCGAGCTTGATTAAAAAATATAGGGAAATTGTCTAAAACTCACCATAGTTTTTAGCATTTCTCTTAAACCGATCACAACTTTTCAAAATGTCTAAAACTCATCATGTCAGTAAGTTTTCTTAACAGAGGTGTCCACGTCAGTATAAATAGCAATTTTTATGACCAAATCACCCTTGAATGGAGAGTTAGAGGAAAAGGGACATTTTCATTTTTCAATTTTCTTTTTTCTTTACATTTTAGTGTTTTGTTATAATTTCTAATGTTTTTTATAATTTCTGTTTTTTACATTTTTCTATTTTTTCTATTTTTCTATTTTCTACAACCTATAATTTTTTTTGTATTTTTTGTTATTTATTTGCAATTTCTGTGTTTTTCTATAATTTTTGGTGTTTTTTCTACAATTTTTATTTTCATTTTGTTTTTCAATTTCTATAGTTTCTATAATTTGAAAATAATTTTTTATTTTGTGTACAATTTCTATAATTTTTTATATTTTTTGCAATTTATATGTTTTTATGTATTTTATATTCGAAAGTATTATTTGAACTTTTCCTTTTTTTCATATCTAAATATTAAAATATATGTATATATTTTATATATGTTTATATTTTATATTTTTCTGTGAAGGTTAAAATGGTAATATATTAATAGCCGTTAGTCTCTTTAACGTCAAGTTAGTGACATGGTGAGTTTTAGACATTTTGAAAAGTTGTGGTGAGTTTAAGGAAATGCTAAAAACTCATGGTGAGTTTTTGACAATTTCTCAAAAATATAGAGCTTGAAAATGAAATTGAGCTCAATCGAGCTTAATGTATTTGGCTTGATATTGACTCAAGTCGATACTCGTGAGCTACTTGAGCTCAATTCAACTCAAACCAATTATACATAAAATAAGATTAAAAATTATAAATAAATTAATATTATATTAAAAATATTTAAGATAAAATATATTAAATATTTAAAGATAAATTAATATTATAAA